TCAAGCTTCATAACAGACAAAAATAGAAGTGGGAGGACATTTTTTAGAATGCGTGTAAATTAGCAAAGTTCTTGACTTGAATGTGAAACCCTGTGGTTTACGACGACTTATGATAAATAAGCTGTGGGAGGCTAGAGTATTTCTGTGAGGGAATAGATCTTAACTTCTCAAATAAGTTTCAAAGACACACCTCTCTGATGATAACATTAAACGTTCAGGGAATCCAGTGCACGTTTAAATATGGTTTTAAACACTGAATCACACATCCCTAATGTCTGTGGACTTACCATCATTTGGAAGAATCCCCTCCACTTTCCAGAAACAGAGAACAAGTGAAAGTCATATGTTTACTCTATAACAAATGCTTTTTAAGGGCTGTCAAGTGTCTTCTTATCCTCTGAACTTTTTCAGATTTGATCATATTACTAACAAAACCTCAATATAGAAATATGAAGTAGGTGGAAAATAGCAAACAGTTTTTTATTATATTTTTAACAAATTCAGTCTTATAAAAATAAAGGTTTGCATTCTGCCATCCAGAGTCAAAAATTTGTAGAATCCCACCTTTTGGTATTTATAACTTATATTCTTAACAGATTTAAACAACCATAAATTAATGTTTTGACCATATTTCTTTGCAAAATAGTTTAAACACACCCAAAACATATTTCATCCATCCATCCATTTTCTTACACACTTATCCCAAGCGAGGTCGCTGGTGCCCTTACTGTCTACGGGCGAGAGGCGGGGTACACCCTGGACAGGTCTCCAGTCCATCGCAGGGCAACACAGAGACAAACAGGACATACAACCATTCATGCACACACTCACACCTAAGGAGTAACTAGAGAAGCCAATTAACCTAACAGTCTTGTTTTAGACTGTGGGAAGGAAGCCGGAGTACCCGGAGAGAACCCACACATGCTCAGGGAGAACATACAAACTCCATGCAGACTTCTGGTCTGGGAATCGAACCCACAACCTTCTTGCTGCAAAAATCCATCTATTGTAGCATCTAGTGCTGCATCTTAAGAATTACTATAATGCTGGATGAGGAAATATCATGAAAGCTCAACCATAGCTCTATCCTCGTGGTGCTGCTACTACCATATTTACAGTAAAGGAACTAAGGGCCAGAATTGTAAAACAATAAACATGCATTTCCATTTGTTTAATGCTAATGAAGCAACAAGAAAGATAAACTAGTCTTTCCACCTATCGCCCTGTAGCCTTGAATAGGCTCTGCGTTGCCTAATTCGCTGCAATTTTGTGGCAGTATTTCCCACACAGTGCATGTAATATCAATTGATGTTGCCTGCACTCCTCATGTCAGTAGGCTCAGAACGTTGGACCTAGAATTCAGTCAAGACAGACAGTGATATATTTAAAAGGCATTTAAAAGTAGCGTGCGGCTGCTCGTCTGCTGCAGCAGGATCACTGGACACTCAGCAGGAGTAGAGGCTCAGTTCATTGACCAAAAAACTCAGCCAAAACTCAGAAGTTAGGGGGCAGAGACAGGTCAGAAACAGGCAGAACATGATACAACAGGGTGTTAGAATTAGTTTCGCTAGGAGCTTGAATAATCTGGCACCAAAGGCCGGGGTCTGGGGGCTTAAATAGCAGCAGGAACAGGTGGATATGATTAGAGCTAATGAGCATAGGGCAGAGCAAAGCAGAGGAGAGCAAGAAGGAAAACACCCAGCCAAAAGGGGCCATTACACCTCAACAGCTTTGATGGAGGAAGTCACAGCTGTTTCAGTAGTAGTAGTAGAAGAACGGGCAGTGCCTTTGACAGGAGCAAGGCCTTGGACACCAATCCCCAGAGGTGCTGTACCTACTGTAAATTAAAGATATGCCTGCTTAGTTGAGCAGTGGGTAGCACTGCTTCCTTGCAGCAAGAAGGTTCTGGGTTCGATTCCCGGCCCAGGGTCTTTCTGCATTGAGTTTCTTCTTGCATGTTCTCCCTGAGCATGCGTGGGTTTTCTCCAGGTACTCCGGCTTCCTCTCACAGTCTAAAAACATGACTCTTAGGTTAACCGGCTTCTCTAAATTCTCCTTAGGTGAGTGTGTGTGAATGGTTGTTTGTCCTGTTTTCCTTTAAGTTGCCGTGCGATAGACTGGCAACCTATCCAGTATGTACCCCACAGCACCCCTTGCGACTCCACTTGAGATTAAGCGTGTCAGACAATGGATGGATGGATGGAATATGCATGGTGGTCTTGTGGTAGACTTTCAATAAACAAACAGCGTTACAGCATCACCAGAGCAATGCTGCAAAAACAGTCTGTCTGTGAAGGGTTTCTGCACGCTCCCATGCCGGCTGAAAAGGGTATAGCTGCTGGCTCAGCTGGCAGTCAAACCACCCCTGTTGAAGTTCCGACAGTTAGGGCGTGTTGTTTGTATTGGTTCGCTGATTTGCCAACCCTAACCCTAACCTACACAGGAGTACAAACGCCCTAATATGACTCTATGTATTAGGCTGAATCTAGTGTCACTCCCATTGATGTCACACTTGCAGCCGTGGACGGCACCTTGATTGAAGGCTCCGGGACTAGGTTGCCATTACACCCTCTGCCAAATTTGAGCAAGCCTGCAATAATGCGGACTCGCTGTTTAAGGCCTGAGTGGTCTACTCGCCCGAACCACTATGGGCTAAAGGGTTAGTGCTTAGGGGGCGGTTTGGGATTCCACCTTACTGTGCCGGCTTTGGTGGCTGCAGTTACCCACAGCACCAATTGTGTCACTCGTGATTCTCATTTCCTTATCCTGCCTCTAGTTCCTTTAACTTTGGTGTCTTCAGGATGCTGTGTTAGCTTTCCACAATATGTGCTGTTTTGCATGGAGATGAAGCAATCAGATTCTTGTTTTGTCTGACCAGAGCACATTTTTCTATATGGTTGCTGTGTCCCCAACATACTGTAGCTTGTGGCATTGGGAAATGTATAATTTTCTGGTATGGCACTGTTAAGCTTGATCAGGAACATACTAAGCTACCTGTTATGGTAGATAAGTGTATTCCTGATTAAGGTTATTAGGCCAGAGAGTGGTTGAAAGAAATCTGAGCAAATCCTTACAATCACAGATGTTCTGAAGTAAGCTGTGCCTGTGACTTGGGAATGTTTTTTTTTTTTTTTTTCAACATGTCATTTAAGTCCTATGTTAGATGTTATTATTTTTACCTCCATTATATTGACAAAATAAGAAAGATTTTGATCAGGAGTGACACTAATAACTATTCATTTGCTGATTAAAAGGTGAACTATTGTGCTTCTCTCCTATCAGGAAATCCACAAAAAGCAGTTAAAAGCATTTAAAAACACTGCAGCTAGAGTTCTGATGAAAATGTAAAAAAAAAAAAAAAAAATTAAACTCATAGTAATAAAGGGAAGCTATAACAGTTCCTATTATAGCTTCCCTTTATTGGCTCCCTGTTTTATGCATAATATAATTCTCCTTCACGAATAGTTCAGCTCCATTATACATCCCAGATGTGACTGACCCATATGTTCTTAACAAAGCACTTTGCTCCAAGACTATGGGGCCTTGAGCTTCTGAAAGTAGAATGGGAGGCAGACCTTTTAGCTTCTGGGCTCCCCTCTGGTTGAACCAACTCCTTCTTTTAGTCTGTGAGTTAGACACCTGTATACTTTTATGGCAAAGTTTAAATTGGTCCCTTTTGATAAAGCCTACAATTAGATTGACTTAGGTTATCTTGGTCTATCTTTGTAGTTATGCTCTTAAGACTGTTGGAGGAAATAATAACCACTATATCTTTACTTTGCTACATTCTTCTACTATCTTCTAATATTTTATATCATGCCATGTGGTCTCTCTTGGTTTTTTTTCTCCTCATAGAAACTATATCTAACCTTGTGTTTGTTTAGCTGTTATACATTTGGAGTACTTCTGTCAACAACTTCATTGTCTTCTTTTATGGATCAGTACTTTAGCGTTTTATGCTATATACCATGTGTTTTCAAAATCCCATGTCAACTGAGGAAGATAGTCATTCCCAGCAGCTTTTGCTGGAGGTTCCTTCCTGTCATAAGGGAGTTTTTTTTGTATGCTGTTGCTTCATACTATATATACACTATTGTTGACAAGTCACTGATACAATGAAAGTGACTCTCCACTGTAACAAGGTTGTCTAGGAGGATTAAATTCTGTAAGTTAATTATTTCATACATTCTAGTGGATTTCCTTGGATAGAAAACAATTTGAATAATAAATCAGATGTGACTGCATTGTTTAGTTTAAGTCAGATCAGTTAGAATGTTTTGAGGGAACTTAATTAGGAATGTGTGTGATTTGATTGAATTGAATTGACTTTTTAAAGTGCTTTGTAGACTTGTGATCTGTTCAGGATGTTCCAATAATTATTTATTACAGTAGTTGACCACCAGGTGTTGAGTGGCCATCACCCAGCTCCCTGTAAAAACCAGGCAAGGATGAGCAGATAGCTCTCCCACATGAGATGCCTCATGCATGCTCACTACTCCGATCTTGTCCCTGAAAACAGAGGTATACATAACATTCACAACACACTAACTCACTATTCAGCCTATTACAAGCATTTTATGCAAAACTGTTTAAATAAATCATAATCTAATTGCAATTTAAAATGTAAAGAAACATTTTCAGGCTTGTTGTTTAGAATACAGATATATTCATGGTAAAAGAAGATTGCAGTTTAAAGTTTAAGGGTTTATTATACTGTAATAATTCAACAGCCCTTTTTAAGGTCACTAAATGTATTTGTGAGTTAGGCAAATCAGGATATTCTGAAATACTCTTGTGGACAAAATATTGCATATACCATTCTTTTAGTAAGCATGCAACATTTACTTTTTTTATGTAAATGTAGTGCAAATATTTCTAAGGAAATTGGATCACTGTCAGCTTTCAAACTAAAGCTACAATCTCATACAGCATTACGTCATTTCATTTGCACATGCCTCAAAAGAACAACAAGAGTGAAACTGGGTTTGTCAGTTATAACTCCTCCCTTGCTCAACAAAAGCAGCTCACACTTTACTTCCTAAACACATTACAAGACGGGACAAGATGAAGGTAGGTTTGTTTTCTCTCCTCTGAAATTACAGCTACTTTAAACGATTCAGACTCCCACAGAGTGTTTTGTTTTGCAATGTGAGATAGGAAAGCATGTGTTAGGCTAGACAACAAAGGTTTTCTATGAAAGAACGCGGCATGCAAATCTATGAACGTTTGGACAGGAAGAGACTGGTTTTCCTTTTCAGGCAATGCTTTATTTATAAACCGGTATCTATTAGTAATATATCACTTATCTCATAATCCTTGATTTTCCTCTGATTCAAACACTGGGTTTGCTGTTTATTGAATGTGATTGTGTCTTGTCAGCTTGTGAAACTTCTCTTCATTTTCTTACCATTAGAACATAAACAAATGAATCTTTCCTTCAGAGTCTCTGTTATCTTTACACCCAGTATCACTCTATCACAATCTTTGCTGCTCTGGTCAGCTTTCCTAACCTGAAGTAATGTTTGAGTTTCAGTTTAAAGTAGAGCAAACCTTTATTGCTGTAACTGCATTTGATTGGATCAACAGATAGTTTCAGGAGTAAGTGATAAATAATGGTGCAAAGTGAAGCAGTGAAGTCAACATGCTGTTCAAAATGATGTACTTGGAAAATCCCAGACAGAGTTTCATTCTGACGTCACCAGTTTGTTGTAAGGAAACAGAAATCCAAACGCACACTAGTTTTATTTCTCCTTTATTATAGTATAATTAGCTCCTCTTTCACTTCAAATGGTTTGGTTCTTCACTAAAAAGGAGTATTTTCCCAACTAAGGGACAGCAAGTCTTTTCTACCTAATTCTGTTTTGGGATACTTTCTACTATAAAACAATACAATATTGTTTTTTTTTTTTGAGTTATAGTCTTTGTCATGTTTAAAGAAATGATCATTTACATCTCTTTGTAAATTCAGACAAGAAAATGTCAATATATAATCATTTAAACTCTAGGGCAGACTCTCCAACTCTAAAAACTGCATATATAAAAACAGCCCAACTTGGGTTTTTTTCTTCCAAATCAAATAGTAAGCCATAAACCAATCCAGCCTTTTTCTTTACTCTCCTGACTTTTCAACTTTATAGTAGTAAATTTTTAAATCCCTGCTTAAGCCCCTGTCACACCTTGACGATTTAGACCAGCGTATGCCTAACGTATGAAAAATCTGGCGAAAACACTGGTATACGTTGGATAAGTTATGGGTCGTTTTGTATAGGTTATGAGCACAATGAAGTATGCTGTTGGAAAAAAAATATGGAAAAGGATAGCCGAGCAATTTAAAATCTGATTTGATGACACAAACAATATTATGTATTATCATTATTACATGAACAGTGTCTACACCCCAACTCTTAGGAACACCAGATTATGGTTTCTGCAGTGGATCCTGCACCTTAAGACAGACCAAAGAACTATACTCTGGCATCAATATAACTGCTGGTCTTAGCACAGTCCGTTTAAACTCTTAAACAGTTTGCTTGCTGCATCCCAAAACACCAAAAGCGGAAAGAGAGGATGTAGCATTAGAGCACTTCAAATCACCAAGGTAGTAAGAGAAACGCCAACACTGCTTGCTAATGCATGTGTTGTGAACAGAATGGTGGAAGAGAGAGGAGACTGCTTTGGTCCTAGATAATTTATGAGACACTCTCCTTTGTGCTTTTTCTTTTTCTTGATCAGCACAATACTGGAGCAATACTGCCCCAGAAACGCTTCAACTGGATCATGTTGTTCTGCCCAAGATTTAAGTGTAAAAGCGAATCAGGGCAACAGAACGTGTGGATTTTCTCACTTCTGCCAATCTCTGGACCAATCCTTGGACCAGCAGTGTGGAAATTCCCTAATAAACAAATACATGTCCTAATAAAGTAAAATATAGAGAGATAGGGTTCCAGATTTACTCTGAGACTTAATCTTTTTTTTGTCTCAAAAATAACAACTAAATAAATGTACTAAAGTTTTGTAAATTACAAAAGAAATTTCAAATTATGGATATCAATCTCAAATATTGGTTAAAGTGATACCCTTCTTTGTGCTGCCTTTTGAATCCTAGTTAAATAATAGTTTGATAGCTGGATAGTTGGATTCAGAATATTACGCTGATAACTTTGGGTAGAATGTATAAATATTTTTTAGAGTAATGTACAATAAACAATATCATTAAATTCTTACTAATCATGTAACATAGTATGATATACTCCTGTCTATAGTGCATTAATGACCAATTCTTAAATAAAGTCGCATTTTTTCAACTACTTCTTAACCTTTAAAGGCTAATGTTATCTTATAGGAGTTATTCAGTCAAAAAAATGCAGTAAAACATTTATTTTCTCCCAGCTACTTTTAATATCAAACCCCACAGGAAAATCAATAAAGCTTTTAAAAAAATTGTCCGGCTTATCGATTTTATGACCTGTTTTTTAGTGAACACACTAATGTAAATAAATCAAACCTATTATCTAGTGTATATTAATATCATTCGCATGACTCACTGACACTATTACTGTTGGCATGATTTTTATTAACACGTAATTTCCATTGAGTTAAAAAAATGCTTTATTGAAAGAGAAATGTAATAAATTGGCCATGTCTGCTTGTGCGGCAGGTAACTGGTACTTAATCCAGGTAGACCAACCTCTAACAGGTTGGTTTTATGTAGGCCTATTGGTTGCACAGAGATTTATTCCCTGTGTGAATCACAAAGTAAAACCCAATAAAAAGTGTTGTGGGAAACTGAAACAGTGAAGGCAACACCTCTTTTGCTGATTGTTTAAAAAAACAACATAAGTGTTGGAATCGTATTTTACATATGTGCACTCATCTATCGGATCTTCTACTATATGTCAAGATCCTCTAAAACGGAGCTTCCAAAACGTTTCTGTTTCTGATCCACAAAGAACCACAACAGTCGACTCATGACCCAAACTATTGAGTACACAAACACTTCTACAAATCAATTAACTACATGTATAACAGAAAAATGCATAGAAAACCAAAGTAGTTAGTTTCTTTTTTTCAATTTTTTGTGATGCTTTCATATCTTAAAGTGAGCTTCTGTCAGTGAGCCCCAGGGCAGCTGTGGCTACAATGTAGCTTGCCACCATCAGTGTGTGAGTGTGTGTGTGAATGGGTGAATGAATGTAGTGTAAAGCGCTTTGGTCAAGTCTTCTAACTTGAATAAAGGCGCTATATAAGTACATGCCATTTACCATTTAAAGCACTTTAACGTAAATGTTTATTGTTTATTTTATTTCTATAGTGGATCTAAAGACCCCATACTGGTTAAAGAACTTTGGGAATCAATTATCTAAAACATATTACATGTTGTTCATGTAGCTGCCTAGCTATGAGTGTTACTTTCACACTCCAGATACACTCATCTTGTTTCTAAAATAATTCTGTACTGCCCAATAGGGTAATAGTTGGCTCCTGGAATTTTTCTTGGAATTTGTTTTCTCCTTACAGCAGACAAGAACCTGCTCTGTGTATGACACATAACTGCTTATCATTTTCATGTTGTATTGTAGCTATTTTTTTGGTATTTGGAGTGGAGTGGTAAGACAAATAACTATTTTAAAATAGATGTGAGAAGCAGCAACAACTCTTAGCTGTCTTCGGATATCTTGGGTTTTATACTTCCACAAAATAAGACCCTAAACCAGACATGGGCAATGTGGAGTCAACAAGTCATCTCCATTTCATGTATTTGTTCTACCCAGCCACTGAAGCAGGTGAGTCCAATCTTCACCGGGAATTAACCTGTGCAGATTGGACTCACCTGCTTCAGTGGCTGGGTAGAACAAATACATGACATGGAGATGACTTGTTGACTCCACATTGCCCATGTCTGCCCTAAACACAAAAGATGTATTTGCATGCTTGGGAATTTCCTCGGATCAGCTGCCAGTGCAAAGATGGAAAAAAGTCATTTCCTCATCTACATTTCTTCGTACTGATTCAAGTGAAAAGTTAATAAATACATAAAATCATTATTCCTCAGGGAAGTAAGTCACAGACAGATAGACATTGGTAAGAAAACATAAAGTTAATTGCTGAAGATACCTTGTGTTAAGTATTGTCTATAAAACAGGTTGAGTTCCTTTTAGAACAGAGTCCTTCTGTTTGTGCTTAAGGGAATTCCCTGTGACATCCCGTTTGCAGATGAACCTACTGGCTTGATCAAATAAAAAAAATCCAAAAAAGTCCCACATAAGAATGATAAAGGTTAAACCAGGCATTTCAAATAAATTGTCTGATACATTAGTGCTGACTGTGTCATCTAATCATACACTGACTTTTTGTAAATGCAATTTGAAAAGGCCATATTTAGATCATTACATTACTCATTTATACCTTGTAAAATATTTTAAACAGCTAAACATTCATGTGAGAAAGTATGTCAGGCGGTTTCAATAGACTGATGACAGATTACTGTAAATATGGATTAAGATAGTCTAGTTCACACTTCTGTTATTTGACTTGTTTATTTTTCTTAACAGGGGCCAAGTTTTTCACAGATTCTCTTGTAAGTACCCATTTCTTAATATGTTTTTGTGATTAAATTCAACCGCAGGCTGTTTGATAATAAATAATGTGACAGTACATGTATATTTTTACATTTCTTTTACTAGCCTACATTGAAAAAGTAAAGATGAATGGAAGCAGTAATTGCTACAAAAGCAATATCCCACAGCTTCAACCCAGCTTGTTGGAAAAGCATAATTATGACCTGTTCTCAGCTCAGGAACTAGGACCCACATGATTTGTTGTTCAATAGGTTTGCCTAAATTAAAGATTTAGATATTACTTAACAATATATTCCTGCAAAAAGGTCTAATTTTGCAGGGGCAGGTTATGAAAAGTGCTTGAAACATGCTCCTGCTCTGATTCCAGTTTGTTTCAGCCTCAGCCTCATGTAGAAGGGCTGGTCATATCGCAGGTTATTTGCATTACAATAGGGACAGTTAGCAAGGTAGAGTGAATACACAAACTTGAAGAGGGGAGGGGGTTTGCAGGAAAACTGAAATTCTCTGGGACTTCTAGTGATAATCATTCAGTGTCTCTAATTTTGCTTATTAGAAAACCTCAACATTCAGAGTTATTTAAGGAAAACCTGGCCATGAAAAAGTGCCTGAGGGTTACTGATCATAATAAAATGTGATGCCAAGTCATTACATCGCATGAAACTAAAAGTCCCCCAAATGTCCCAAGGGTGTGAATACAGTGACTGTAAATGTTCACACATTACTAATTCTGATACTTGTACGGTCTCATGCTTCACTTATTGTGGTGTAGCATATTTTCCTAAACTGAAAAAAATCTGAAACATCAAAGGATTTTGCTCCTCACTTCTATTTGTGCCGTTTTGCACGATTATATCAATGGGTAGCTGATCATATTTTTTGTATAAATGCAACATTTTTAAAAGTATTTATTTACTTTAGTCTTGTTTTATTGTTACATATTTGCAGTTTTTTAATAAATGTATATTCTTTTCTGTATATCTAGTGGACCAGGGCTCCTCCTTTACCTGATGACTGTAGTTTTAAAGCTATCCGGAGTTGACTCTGTTCCTACAGGTGAGTATTCAAGACTATCTTTGATTTAGCCCTGGAGATGTTTGATTAAAAACTACTTGTTAAGGATATGTTCTTGGCCACAGGAAGAACAGCAAACATTAGTGTATGGGATAGCTGATGGTCAATTAATAAACAAATTAAATGGAATAAAATGTGTCTTCAAATGATCAGAACTCCAGTACAGCAGAAAATAAAGAGGTTTCTAGGCCTTGTCTTAAAAAAAAATAACAATAGACATTTCTTATGTAGTTTAAACTGAAGTTGATTATTGTTCTTAAACAAGAGAGGATATTTTTGAAATCCAACCAATTAAGCTCCTGCCCTGCTCCTCTCTCCTCCTAATGTGCACAAGCAGGGTAAGCGTTGTATGAACAGAGAACATGCAACATGCCATATACAGTAGTAGTGATAAATGTTGAAATATTAATACATTTTCTTAAGTGTAAACCTCTAAATCTACTCTTCTGTTCAATTCATTTTAAAAATACTTCAGTCTCTCACAATGAGTTGTTGTAGATGCTTATAACTGTAGGCAGGAAATCTTTGACTGGAGACACTCTGTTGTAGTTGAACAATATTTTGAAGTGAGTTCAGAGTCATTCTATACGTTCTTCATTTTATAAATAATTATTTTTCCATTCTTTTTTAGAGTTGTTTCAAAGTTGTTTTATTAAATGTGTCCTCCAGAAAGTAAGATGTTAGCTGCATGGGAATTTTTTTTTAAACAGTGTTTTACTTCAGACACTGTATAAGTGTGATATAGCTAATAAGTATAAACAGTTTTTAAAAATATAAGCATAATTTAACTACGTTTAGCTTTTTTTTTCTTTTTTTTTGCCCAGTAACAAGTTTCATTCAATCTTGTTTCAAAAGCTAACCTCATTGGCCTGAAAATGTCTCAGTTTACCATTAAGAAGCTTTGGTTTACAAAAAAAGAAGAGTTTACTCAAAGTGGTAAAAATGTGTTTGTTATTTCTTGATTTTTCTTTGTGGTCAATTTCCCTTGAGCTATTTCATTACTACTACTATATTATTTCTGATTTTTTTATTTTCTTCTTTTTTTCCAGAACCATACGATAAGGTGGTTGGTGAAAACTTCAGCTTTCACTGCCCTGTTGATGAAAAGAGGGAATTAGAATTTTTGTACTTTCAAAAAATTGTGGACAAGCAAGATCCAATTTTCTATAATGGATATCACTCTTCAAAACCTTTGGAACCAATGCCAAACACAAAAATGGACCCCAAAAACACAATAATGCACATGTTTGGACTAAAGCTGTCTGACAGTGGTATTTATGAATGTTACTATAAGTATAAAGATGATCAAAAGCAGGTCAATGAGAAAAGGATGCGCCTTAATGTCACAGGTAGGCATGTTTTTAATACAATTATTGATCTATTTGTCATGTATTTCATATTAATAAATTCTATTCTTGGTGGTGGGGGGCGGGGGTGAACCGAGGAACTATAAAATCTAAACTTAGAAGTAGGAAACGCCTTGAAATGGTTTAGAGTAAATTAATGAGCCATAAATCTACTGTGAAATTTGGACGTACCGTCGATTCTTTAGACAGATATAGGAAGGTTTACATATATTTCTATATTTTTTTATAAGTTATCCCAGAATATAGTGGGTTGTTTTCTTCTCCTTCTGTTTTTTTTTCTGGTGGGGAGCCTTATTTCTTTTTTCCTCTCATTTAATGTTTAACATAAAGAGGAAATCAATGTTTTTAAATTTATTGTTGTAACTTTTCATCTTAAACAGTGATATTTAACACTGTTTAAGATTATCGCTCCATTTGCTTGAATACTAAATTTGTGAGAAAAGAAGAAATACTCATATGACTTTCCCTTTATCTGTTGTTTTTGCAGCCTTCTTCACTAAGCCTGTTATCACACACAGATGTGGCAACGAAAATGGCATACCATTGGAATGTGATGTGCAGTGTGATTCATATAATGGGCTAAAAGGAAAAGAGATAGGCTGGGAATTTAAAGGAAATATCACCAAAGACAGGTGGAAGGTTTCAAATCGAGTTAGAGACCCATCCAGTACAGAGTTGGTTAATATCTCCAGCACTGCAACTATCAACTGCTCCGGTGGTGAAGTGTCTGCGTTCTGCTTTATCGACGGCTCCATGTCAAATGTCTCAGTGTGTAAGTATTCAATACAGTACAATGACCTCTTTATCCCGTATTCCACTTTTAGTAACTCAGTCAGGAAGTTCCCCTTTATGGGAAAGTTTTAAACAATTTTACGTCTTCACTTTTTAGAGAACACTAGTTTTCCACTCGCGGGTGGGTTTGTACAAGGTGAAGGGTGAGCAGTCACACCCTTGTAAGAGTGATCAGAAAAGGCAAATACTGAACTAAAACCATGATATTCCGTAAAAGTAAAAAACAATCCACTGGACTTGGTTTCAATTTGCATGTGTCCAAGCAATACAAGGCCATGTCTATATAAAGCCTCAAACTCACTGCTGATCCAGACATTTGAATTGAGAAAGCTTCCTGGAGGGGAAGCGAAACATCTTCAAGGGTTGAATGTCTTCAAACCTTGGAAACCAAGTCCAGTGGAATGTTTTTAACTTTTACGGAATGACTATGACTTGGATGACTGAGAATCTTCATCAGCATAAAACAATGATAGCTCATTTTAAGATTGACACAAGCCATTTAGGGGACATTAGCCATTTAGCCTACATGGCAAAACATGGTGGAAGTACAAAACATCAATCCATATAAGCAACACTTCTTGTTTTTTAAACATATACACATAACAGTGGCAGCTTTATACCATGCAAAAGGGAAGTGGTTTAGATCTAAGCTTATTCATGCATTAAATCACCATGTAAGTTTTTGTTTCTGATATTGATTATTTCTTTTCTGAAGGTTCTCCCAAGGCCCCACCTGAGGCCCCACCTACCATGACTATTGCTGTGATAGCTGCAACAGTTGTCTGTGGTGTTGTCGGGGTGTTGCTGCTAATGATTTGTTTAATATTAAGGAGAAGAAATACATGTACAGAAACAGGTACTTCTACTGAGAGTTTAACAAATTTGCATTTCAGCTCTTGTGATTCACTATGAAAAAAGATGCAAAAATACTTATCATGTTTCTCTTTTTTTTTTTCTTTCTAGAAGCTGCAAGGAATGTAATAGAGTAAGTATGGTTGGTCGAGAACATGTCTTATAAATGCATCCCAAATTATTTTGCTATATAAATGCATCATATTAAAGCACATATATTGATGACAACGAATATGCAAAGTTATGTCCTTGATGAAGATTTTATGTCTACCATTTAGCACAGAATTTATTCATAGAATGTTTACTTCATACATTTTCTTCTGCTTGCATCTCTTATTTGCTTTCTTTTTCCCCTTTTGTGATCCAGGGAGTCCATACATTTAAATTGTGTTTGATGAGAAAAACTGGATTCTTGAGAATCTAAAAGAACATTCGGACTGAAGCTCACCTGTCTTCCAGCATGGGTTCTAAGCTATCTGTCACTGAACTGAACATGTGACCTAAAGCTTGCCCAGGAACGCTCAACAAGTCTGTGACTCACGAGGGAATGACTGCCAATGCGTGGGCTCTCAAAGCACAGGGAAGTATTTAGGTTTACCCAGGGAAGGTGTGCGTCATTGAACAACCATGGTTAACTTTCTAAGGAAATGACATTTGTGGGGGAGCAGAGTGATGTCTCAACCCACAATATAAAAAAACATCTAATGGGAACATCTCATGGGAATAACAAGACGAGAAGCAAAACTAGACACACAAGCACTTCTATGTTACACTGACTACCGCTGGAGTAATTGCTCTAGGTTTATTTCAAAACTGTTTTGAATGTTTCTATATCCCAGCAATACTAAGCATTTTTATTTTGGTCATAATACAACAATAACATATTTTTCTAAAAATAACAAAGTTGTGTTAAATGGAAATAACATTGTAGCAGGCTGTTTAAGGAACTGTAAATATTTGTATTGCAGTATTTTTTTATATATTTTTGAGGAGTTTTTTTTTTTTTTACTTTTTCAAATGAGCTTGGAGATTTTGTTTGGTTTTTGTTCTCATGTACAAAAGAACCATATATGTTTGGCTACATCCAGTTATTTAAGTTACGCCGTCCCACTTTTTCAGGATGATTAACAGTAAAATGTCCACCCTGTTTGTTTGGCTCAAAGAAAGGTCTGATATATCTGTTATTTCCCTTTGCTTTGAATTACCAGAGAGCTTTAAAAAGCTGCTTTCGTTTCCCTAAAATGTGTGAAACAGTTCTCCTCAGGGACACTTCTGTCTTTTGTCCTTTTTTTTGTTCTTGTACATTTGTAAAATAATAAATTAACTATTTAAATTTAAACCTGCTGTAGAAGGAATATTTTTGCCTCAACTCCAAATGTCTGTATTTACGGTAAATCATTTTTAATATAAAGAAAAAAATTAGGTGAAGAAAACCATTAACATCTCTTTTCTAATGCCACACTTCAGTTGCACTCTTTTCTGCCACTGAAATCTTACTTTTCTACATGTTTCACACAAAAGATTGAAAGGTGATTCTATCGCACTGAACTAGACCATGTTGGGCAATACTTTCAAATTTAGGAAATATGTAAAGTGGCTTTGAAAGCAAATAGAAATCTGAAAGATGTGCTGAGTAGTTTGTTTTCTCTAAATGTGTGACCAATTGCCTTGGTCAATATTTACAGCTGCAATTTATTCTGAGTATAAATCCACTGTTCTTTGAAGGCCTGTGGGTTTCGTTTGAGACTATATGTAAATAAACAACATCATCTAGACAAAGGAAAACAACAAACAAGTTAGGGGAAAGTTTTGGAGTCATTTTATACCTCAGCTTGGTTATAAAACTGCATGACCAATTCAAACATCCACCGATTACTATGTCTGCAACCTACCAACATATCAACAATCACCTCGTCTGACAGCCTAGACATGGAAACCAATAGTTAAAAATTAAGGGAAATGATCAGAATGACTTTTAAGGAGCTGTAGAAATCGAAAGCTCAAGAGGATATCTAAACAGGACAATGAATTTAACTGTAGAAGCTTACAACATACAAATATAAAGAGTTGCCATAGTGTTAAGGTTGTTAACAAAAGTCAAATAGAGCAAACAGTGAACACATTAATGCGTTTGATCAGACAAGATCAAAGATAATTATATGATTTACACATAGAATCCGTGAGTGAAACAAAACTTAAAAAGTTACCCTAAACGCCCACAAACATTGTAATAGTGGAACCATGATGTAGGCCTGTTCTGGTTGAGCAGGGAAAGGGAAACTAGAGAGAGTTTAGGAGAATATAGATGCATCTAAAGATAGAAAAATCCAAGAAAACATCTGCAGGAAGTTCATTGAGATTGAGATTGGCTCAGAAATAATAATAAAAAATCCTCTTCATAGAAAAAAACTATTATTTTGATACAAACATTGAATTACAAGTCTTCTAAACAGTAAACACAAGCAGGGCTAATATACACCTTGTCGCCCTCTATTGATAAAAAAAAAGTATCACAGCAGGCCCCTTTCTATTGCAATGGCACATATTGACCACTAGATAGTGGAAGAACACTAAATAAAAGACATTTTCACTTGTTTGATAAGAGAGTTTCTGTGAACTGTAGAAATAATTTACAACAGCACTGAATTAAAAAGCAAAATCACATTTACTTCAAGGACATTATTGATTACCACCTTCAGTTAGTCAAAAACTACTAACACTGCATGTATCACCTCAGCACCAAGAATATTGTCATTTTGTAAAGTTCTTATGGTCTCCTATATGGAAATGAATGCAGTCCCAATTTTTTATGACAGAACAGGATAAATATATGAGTATGAAAACTTTTAGATATGTTAGTTTTTCTACATATCCATAAACTCTTCCCCTTCTTATTTAACATCCATTGCTTTTCCATAATCTTTCAACTTTATATCTTGGAAACACTGTTCCATATTTAAATTTGTCTCAGCCGTTGTGACAGGCTGTCAGTCCATGCCTCTTTCCTATGTTTACATTTAGGCAGTGGAACAATACCAGGTCGGTTGCACTTTAGGAATTTAACCCCAGGGTCCCTGCCCTCCTCCTCCTTGTTTTCCCTCCCATGCCCCTTATCTTTCCCATCCTTTCCTTTGCATAGACTCACCCAGTCCCTTCTCCTGGATACCCTTCTTCTCCACCTTAAGTCACTTTTAGGGTTTTCATCAATTATTTCTCCTCCCCCCCACAGCTGCTCCTATCTATTTCCCTGTTTCCACCCTTTCTACTTTCCTTTCTCCAATTCTCCACCCCCCAAGCCATTTACTATTCCTCTTTTTATATTCAGAGTGCATTGTCCAAGCTGTCTAACACCCCCTTTTCCTCTGTCATCTTCTCCTCATGCCCTTGCACCCCCCTCGTCCCACTCCCCTCATTCCTTCGCTGTGTAACCCAAACAAACCAGGGAGGACCTTCCTTTGCGGTTGCTACAGGAGAAACACACCACATGTCAGAGTTGGTTTGAAACATAAACATTAGTCAATTTGAGGAACTGAAAAAGGAAATGAGCCACTTTAAGTTCAATGTGACATGGAGCTATTGTTAGCAAGTCTGCTCTGTACATTTAAGTTTGCAGTAATACAAGTAGAACTCAGTTCAGTGTTTAACCAAACATTAGGGTTTTAGGAGGAAAAGAAAGGAAAATAATCCTTTTTGGTCTCTTAATACCACAATTCTTTTTTTCTGGTTAACTTGAAATACAGACATTGCATGTTTAAAAACGGTCAACCTATACTCAGAATTTCAGTAATTAGTATTAATCCTGGCAGACTTTAGTGGGTTATTTTTCCAGTGACGTAGCAGGGTGTATAATCTCCTGCTTAATGGGGAGAATGTTTCCAGTCAGAACAGGAATCCTGTTGGTACCTCTCAGCAAGAGGTTTGTGATCTCTGCCACACTGTTCGGTGTGGCATTTATAATCAGATTACACTAGTTATGAAAGTCGACTAGATTAGTTTTAGTGCAGGGAGCTGGAGCACAAAGAATCAATTCACAGTAGGAACTGATCCGCTTGACAACGACTGGCTATAAATATTAGCAAATTGACTCAACCAAGTATAAGAATAAAGTCAGCCCATCGAAATAAATGATATGATATAAATTCACTAATCATTTATTTTCTACATATGACAAGTTTTTTTTAAGTTTTGAAACTGTGACCATGATAAAAAAAAGACTATGACAAAAAGTTAATTTCAGTTAAATTTGCCTTTGCCTTCACTTTACCTAATTAATTATTAATTAACTAAAAAGAAGACGAAGAAGTAAAAATTAAAAGGAAGAGAAGAGGTTTTGTGTATAATTTAATCTTTTTTCAGCTTTATTCTTTGGTAATGACATTCTTCAATTTATCAAATATTTTAATTTTCTGATTATGGAACTTATCAAACACAGGAACCATTAGGACTGTTTGAATTGCTCCTCTAATGATGGGTGTTTAACAGCTATTGGTTTACCAGCAGTAACTCACTTTTATGGCATGTAGACTAGACATTCAAGATTTCTAAAGCAAGAATACATTTTTTTAACCATTTAAAAAAACTTTAGGTCATTCTCTGACCTTTGAATCTCGATCAGGCGAAAGGGGTCAGACCCCAATTGTGTAAGACCATCGTCTGGCAACTTTAAGTTCTGTTGTGTCTGCAACAAACCAAATTACGAATTACATGCTATAATTGCATGCTAAGGAGATAACTCAGCAATTTGACTTAAATTAGATTGTTATGAATTGTATAATTTAAAACCTTGACAAAGGTGGTAAACATTATATTGAACCCTCTGTCCCAATATGATTTATATATTATCATGTTTTAATGGTAAAGTAAGATATGGCACTATAAGCACATAACACTCTGCACTGTAATGTTTCCCATGTGATGCTGCTGTATAAACAGTGTGACTTCCAGCTAAGCAAAGCAACCACATTTGATTTTGTTCACGTCAAAACCTCTCAGACAATACAGAGTATTAAACTAATCTCAAATGACTGTGAATTTCTTAATGTTGTTCCACAAACTTTATAATAACATTCATTTATTCCATGCTCTTCTATGCACTTACTTTGCCTGCACTGATGATGATTTGCTCATCTCAGCCTACTGAAATCTTAAGACCGGTTTATGCTCAGAAACCATGTCGTCTGCCTGTGTGTCACAGTTAACGATATGACCCCACCCCTTGCGCAGACACTATGGTGCATCTTTCAAAAAGACAGAAGGCCTCTGATCTGCGTCCATCTACGCTATGCATATTTCCTGTTTGGCACCTTACTGGCTTGTTTTGTTTGTATGACCGCCATTGTGGAAAGCGACACGTGAAGATGGACCAGCTAGAAGAGCGAGGTGCATGAGAATGCTGTGACCCTTTCTCCACCTGGATCCCCGCTCATGTCCCTCCGTTGTCGTACAAACTTGCCCCCACTCCCTTGCCACCTCGGCCGTATCTAAACCTACAGCCAGTTTGTGATTGTCCCTCATGCGTTGTGGCGAGGAATAGCAAAATGCTGACCACGCTTCAAAATTGGGCATAAATCAAAAATATCGTCTTACCTGCGACATGCTCACTGCGACACACTGCTGCAGGAGTATAACCAGCCCTTTAGGGGGTCCCAAAGGTATCATGCTGCAGCTGCGAACACAAGCCATGAATTTTGTATCTTAGCTAATATGGATTTGTTTACCTGCAGGCTCACATGGACTGGTTCACTGGCTAAATGTCAGAGACAGTCAAGTAAACTCTCAATATGGCAAAAAGAAATGCTTTACAGTGAAAGGTTTCGTATTTCATACTCTAAGAAGAGATTGGTTAATACAGCACAAAAATGGGTTGAATTTTACCGGTGTGGTTGGTAGCTATGTGTCCAGGCTATCTTTTGGTTAAAACAACCAATCTATTACAGTATGGTTGTGTTTTTTAAGGAGGTATTTTCCTGTTAAAAGGAGTTT